GAAGTGCGCCCCTCCCACGAGGATATTCAGGGGGGCTGCACCTGTGAACCTTGGAGAAGTCTGCCCCTCCCACGAGGATACTCAGGGGGGCTGCACCCGGGCACCTTGGAGAAGTCTGCCCCTCCCAGCAGGGTATTCAGGGGGGCTGCACCTGGGCACCTTGGAGAAGTCTGCCCCTCCCAGCAGGGTATTCAGGGGGGCTGTACCTCTGCACCTTGGAGAAGTCTGCCCCTCCCACGAGGATACTCAGGGGGGCTGCACCTGTGAACCTTGGAAAAGTCTGCCCCTCCCACGAGGATACTCAGGGGCGCTGCACCTGTGAACCTTGGAGAAGTGCGCCCCTCCCACGAGGATATTCAGGGGGGCTGCACCTGGGCACCTTGGAGAAGTCTGCCCCTCCCACCAGGGTATTCAGGGGGGCTGCACCCGGGCACTTTGGAGAAGTGTGGCCCTCCCACCAGGGTATTCAGGGGGGCTGCACCCGGGCACCTTGGAGAAGTCTGCCCCTCCCACCAGGGTATTCAGGGGGGCTGTACCTGTGCACCTTGGAGAAGTGTGGCCCTCCCACCAGGGTATTCGGGGGGGGGGGGCTGTACCTGTGCACCTTGGAGAAGTGTGGCCCTCCCAGCAGGGTATTCAGGGGGCTGCACCCGGGCACCTTGGAGAAGTGTGGCCCTCCCACCAGGGTATTCAGGGGGGCACTTTTGGTTTTTAAGAATACAGTACTAGCTAAACAAATTAAAGGCCTTATTTGGCCTGTGAGGTCACCACTTTAAGGTTTGTGACCTTCCCCACTCCTAGACCCTAGGCTCACCCTATTGGGGGCCTTGCATTTTGGGGGTGGGGCTCTACTGTAAAAAAGAGTATTTAATCAGAAAAAGTAATAGGGCCCTGGGAAAACAATTAAACAGTAATTATAAACAAGTAATGAAAAGTTTGAGAGCAACTGGGGCAGCACGAATTTTGACTTAATTTTAATTTGATTTATCCCTTTCAAGGGGCTAGATTAGGAGTGGGGTTTGCAGAGCACTCCCATTCCTGAAAACTGGAAGGTCACACCAAGCCTGAGTCAGGGACCATCTTCACATACGATAATTACATTTTAATCTATTTAGAAATAAATAAGTACATCTGATTAATTATTAGGTCTTTACAATGACTTCTTCAAGCTCTTCTTTAATTCCCCCAAACACATCAAAGTACAATAATAGTAAATAATCTTATATCAATGTCTCATTAGGAAATGAAACACCAATAAGCAACTCTTAGTTGCTTTAAATTTTAAATGTCCTTTTCTTAGTATTATGTGAAATGCAAATTCTAATTTGCATGTATTTATTTCCAATGTTTTGAACCTCTTTAATAGGCAGATAAAATTAAGGAGGGGCATTAGGAGGGGGAGAACTGAGGGCAAGAGCCCTATAACTCCCCTTAACAAAATCCTGGTTCATAGTCTGTAATATATAGAACCATTTTTCTTAATTTCTTCATTAATTAAGAGACATTTCTATTTGGCTTGTCTGTAAATGACAGATGTTTAATTAAGCCAGTTGAAACAATCTATGTCTTGTAATGCAACCACTGTTACGTCACACAAATTTTAAATGTCAACATGTAGCATTAATAACCCACTTGCCCCAAATTTAAATTAGCTTTTTATGAAAAAAGCTAATTCCTTGGGACAGCAAATAATTAGCTTTTTATGAAAAAAGCTAATTACTTGGAATATCAAATAATTAGCTTTTTATGAAAAAAGCTAATTATTTGGAATATAATTTTATTTCACATTATAATTACAGCTTACTTTACTGGAACTCAAAAACCCACTTTTTAAATGTGTGAAAGTGGCCAGCAGCTCAGCTCAGGACAGCAAAGCACCACAGGAAAAGGACCAAAAACTCAAAAGCCTGAAGGCCAGCAGCAAGACATTAATTTGCTTTGGCCATTCAACAAACAGTTACTGAATGCCTACTATGTGCCAAGCACAGTTTACTGTATATAGGCATATCAGTCAGAGCTAATCACCTAGAATTCTTAAGGAAAATCAAGAAACTGAAACGTTTATATGCTCACAAACTTCTTCCTCAAAGGCCAAGCCATAAACCAATGCCACTTCAAACTCCTAAGAAACACAGTTCAAGCTGCTCCTGTTTCTGTATTCACCAAAGCATTCAATTCCAGGAAGTCCAATGGTGTCTTGAGAAAATAATTAAATATGAAAATATTTTAAATTTAATTTTTAATTTAAAATAAATAATTGGCTTAATTGCTTTAAGGCATCAGCCAGGTCTTATTAGAAGTTCCCATATCCCACTATCAGTTTTAATTGTGGGATCATTTTATTTAATAATGCAAGGCACTTATTAAAAGTGCTTATACATGCTAAGTATACTTATTATTGTTGCTAATTATTCTTATTATTCTTATATTTAGTAGACACCTGTGGACAAAAATCAAAACTGCGCAACACTGAAACAGCAGGGAGGCGGGGCTGTACAGCCAGGCTCAGACAGTGGGCACACTTGCGCAGTGGACGCAAGCCTGCGGGGAAGGGGCTGGGGCCCACACTGCGCATGCGCAGGCAGGATGAGGGGAAGGCGGGGCTCTGAGCCTCCTCAGTGGAGGAGCTCTGGGAGGAGTCAGGTACTAGAGAGGCGGGGCCTGGGCCTCAGAGGAGGCAGGCCTCGGGCGGGGCTGAGCAGGTTACGTCAGAGGAGCCGGGTCTCGGGAGGGGCTGGGGAGGTCGCCTCAGAGGAGGCAGGCCCTGGGCAGGGCTGAGCAGGTTACGTCATAGGAGGCGGGCCTCAGGTGGGCGGGGCTGGGAGGCCACCTCAGAGGAGGCGGGCCTGGGGCAGGGCTGAGCTGGTTACGTCATTGGAGGCGGGCCCTGAGAGGCTGGCTCTATGACGTCAGCACTTGGGAGGTTGGGCCTGTGGAAGCATGTTCTGGAAAAGCGCGTGACCAGCGAGGCGCGTGGACGAGGCACTAGGCCTCAACACTGCAGAGGCAGGCTAGGAGGGGAGGGGCAGGTCTGAGACTGGCTGCTACAGGGCTGCAGAGTGTCTGCGCGCCTCCCCCCGCTCCCCCACCTCCCCAGACCGCCCCCACCAACTCCCAAGCGCCCGATTTCCGCGCATGGCCGCAAGAGCAAGCCACCGCCACCACCACCCCCCCAAACCCAACCAGCAAACCAGTTTGCACAAACTGTTGCTGTAGGCCTATCTGCGCCACCAAGCCAACTGCACCGTCACCTCAATCAATCACCCCTAGACAAGGCCCATTCGGCCATCTCCAAAATCCAACACCCCTCCACTCTCCTGCCTGAGCAGGAATGGCGTGGGCAAAATTTTAAACACTAATTTTTGCAGCCCAGGGCTCCATTTTTCCCGCTCCCCACCATCACGCAGCTAGCTGTCCTACAGAAAAACAGAAACGCGACCTGTTCCAAAAGGCGAACCGCGTTTTCTACCCCCCTCCACGGAGAGAGTTGTACTTTCTCCCTGGTCTTTCCAAAACCCTTTTTTCTGGAGCTCAAGAGTGCGTTATTGCTCTGCAGCAGTTTGTGACGCATTTGTAAATTCATTTTTCTTGCGCGTTCGTATTCAGTTACCTTCCTACGGCTCAGAATTAAGTGCGTAAAGCACAAATCGGCCGTGGATTGCTGCGGATTGCCGCGCGGATCGCCGCGGTTCGGGCTGATTTGTTGCGCCTGAAGCGCAAGTTTGCGCAGAAACGCGCATAAAGCGCCCATTAGTACATGGCAGAGCGCATGAAGCGCCCATTAGCACACACTGAAGCGCAATAAGCGCCCATTGGTACATCGCAGAGCGCATGAAGCGCCCATTAGTACAGTAAAGCGCATGAAGCGCCTATTAGTATATCAAAGCGCATGAAGCGCCCATCGGGTCTTAGCGCATGAAGCGCCCATTAGTAGTTCGTAGCGCATGAAGCGCCCGTTAGTTCATCGCAGTAGCGCATGAAGCGCCCGTCTGCAGCGCAAGTAGTAAAGCGCTTCTCCGTTTGTGGCGCATTGAAGCGCTGTAGAGTTGCAGAGCCGTCACTTTGCAGCGCATTTCAGGAGCAGATTGCAATTCGGTCTGTAGCTCATATGCGTCTGCAGCTCATCACTGTCCGCAGCTCATGGGTCTACTGACCAATTCTGGACGCGGGTCGTGGACGCCGAAACCGTGAAGGCTCGCTTTCCACACTTGCGTCTCAGGATCCGGCCACTGAAGGCGTGGGAGAAAAAAAAGATATGCGAGGAGATATTCCGGGGCGCTACTTCGTCTCCCGCAGCTCCCGAAAAAAAAAAAACGGGATTGCGTGTGATCGTTTAAAAAAAAAAAATCCTCACCGCATACTCACCACTCGAGGACCCCTCTGCGCAGCCGGGAAGGATGACGGGGTCCCACACCTGGCCCGCGACGGTCCACTGGTGACCGCGGTCCGGAGAAGCTCCGGACCGCAGTCGCGCAGCGGACCTCGGCGAGGCCCGGTGGACCGCCTCGGATGGGCTCCCTTCCTCAGGTCGCCGTCAGGATTCTTCTGGGTTCTTCGACACACACCAACCGAAGTTGGAAACGCGTGTGCCGAGAGCTCCGGACTGCCCGCCTTATATAGTCTGTTCCAAGGAGGGGGCGCCAAATCCCAGCGTGCTTCGCGGGCTTGCGGGGGCGGAGAGGGGGGGGCTGCGTGGGCGGGCGCCTGGGGGGATGGGGGGTGCGGCGTGCGCTGCGCTGGCCCGCCGCTAGGGGGAGCATGGGCCCGGATGGGGGGTGCACAGGACCGATGCTGAACCGGCCTAGCTGGGAGGAAAGAAGAAAGGGAGGGGAGGGGAGAAGCCGGCCCCGGCAGGCCAAGAATTCTATTATCGTGGTGGTGGGAGCTGGGAGACCCCTGTGCTTGGACGGGAAAGGGTCGGGGGACATGCAAGATGAGCCCCGCGACCACTGGCACGTTCTTACTGACAGGTTAGTGGCCTGCGCGCGACATGGAGGATTGGGGGACCACAGGCCGTCGCCTCCCCATCCCCCTACTCGGGTTCCGGGGTACCAGGGCGCGCCCAGAGGGTGCTTAGCCCCTCTCTACGCTCACTGCTCCACAGCACCCCGCTCTTCGAGCATGCTGAAGCCCACTTCCTGGGCCCGGTGGGTCCCTCCCCAGGCTTGACCCCTGGCCCTTTCTTTCTTTCGGCACCCCCACGGCCCCTCCCTGTCCAGCAGGGCAGGAATCCGGCTCCAGTTTCTGCTGTGAGCACCTCTCCTCCCCCCGCACCTCCACCCCCACCTTGGTGGTGGACATCTTCTGATCCCTGAAGCAGAGACCTGGGGTTCATTGCCCCTCGGGGTGGGGGTCTTTACCCCACAATTGAGACTCCTTGGCCTACTGCAAGCCAAAGGACATGGCTGACCAGCTGCTTTCTTCTTACACAAAGATGCACGTCTTTTCTCCTTTTCGGGAATCTGATTGAGAGACAGAGACCACCGAAATATGACATTCAAAAGACTGAAATCCCCCCACTCTTTTTTAAGAATATTTCCTGGTGGCGCAAACCTGTTTTTTCTTAGGTCTTACCAAACAAGGAAGCAGAATCATAAAATGCTGGGAACCAAAGGTGTCCAGGTCAGGGTCAGCCATGGCTGGGGGCCAGAGATGCTGCAAACAGCACCCATTGCCCTACTGAATACATTCTGAGGGGAAAGGAAGGAACAATTAAAAACAGCTGTGGGTGCTTTGGAGGTCTCAGCTACGGACTTTTGGTGGTGATTACAAGGTTTACACAGAGACCTCGGCTTTCTCCTCCGCGCCGTTATGTTTATCTAAGTCTTGGGGGTGAATGAATGTTTTTGAGCACAGTAACTGCACGCGTAAACCTAAGAAACAGGTTGTTGAGACTCAACTCCAAACATTTGCTTGGTTTGGGACATATAAACTTGTAATTTTTGTTTTTAACGTTAGGGAAATTTGCAAAGGGTCAAAATCACTCAAATACTGAAGAGAAAGGAGGCGAAATAAAGCAACGTGGGTTACCACTTAAGTTGCTCAAAATGTTAGATGCTGAGAAAATTGACAATCTGTTGCTATGTCTTTGTCCAAAAAGTTAAAGTTAAAAATCAAATTGTCTACAACTGAGTTGGATTTATTCACCACAGGTGAAAGATATTTGTCTTTCCAGACTAAAACTCGGTCCGTTTCAGGAAGATTTCTACAGCTTTTTCCCTTAAAGAAAAAAGCGAGACTTTGATTCATTGTACACCACAAGGTGGTAGGGACCTTGCGCTATAAAAAAAATAGCGTTCAGCTTTTTAGCATTAAGCTAAAACTCATTGATTTACTGGGAACCAACTTAACAGAAATTATGCGTTGACCCCCCAGAAACAGAAATGAGGAGGTGCAGGTTTCCAGCAGGAAAAGGCATTTATCTAGGAAGCTAGGTAAACATAATCATGTTTTTTGAATTTAAAAATGTTTATTCTCTTCTGTGAGACAGACTAATTCCAGGATTTTTAAAGGAATGTTTATTTAACAGTCGCTGTTCTGGCTGCCGCGGGACTGCCTTGTGCTTCGCAGTTGTTTCTCGTACGAAGTTAATTCACCTAGCTGTTCCTTGATAGCTTTGCTTTTTCCCAAGGTGAAATTTATAGCAAGCATGGATTAAAAATATAAGGAAATTCAAGTTTAAAAAATCACTGAGTCTTTCAAAGTTTAAACTAGTTTGATTTTTCATTTCAAAATTTGAACCAGGATTTTTTTTTGTCTTAAAAAGCAAAAAAGGCTTTTTTTTTTATTTTTGTAATAATAGTTATTCTATTCATTGTCCAAATTCCAGAGAGAGTCTTAGTAAAGGCGACCGAGATCACCTGTGACACCCTCGCCTTGCTGCAGGGAGGCAAACTACCTCTTTGCTTACAGAGGTATCTAAAGAAGACATTTTTTCCAGAGGGTTGCATATATTTTTTTCTCAATATAAACAGTGGATCAAATTAATTTTCTTTATGTTTTCTTTCCAAGTAAGTAGATTTTGAGCATCAAATAACACTAATTTTACAGTTTTCTTTAAAAGAAAATATTATATTAATATTTTCTGGTTGATGTATATGAGCAGCCGTAACAGCAGCAGTGGTTTCAAACCCACAAGCTGAACAGACTCCCTGACCTCAGTATTCTCACGTGTAGCTGTAATCCTGAACAATATCCTTGAGGTTTTTTAATGTCTACTTATGAAAAGAATTTCACTTTGCTCCAAATTATAATTTTCCCATGGAAAAAGCAATAACAGATATTCAGGTAAAACTTTCTTGCTATCTGAAGGAGCAAAACAGCATTGAACTGAACAAACAAAATTAATAGATACTTTAGATTTTGGTTGTCGTCACCAAAATGTACTTTAAGTCCCTGTGTGTCCCAATTCTGATAGACAAGACTCTCAAGTTCTCTGTGTGTTTACTATGCAGGTGAATTTCAGATTTCCTAAGCGATTTTCCCCGTGTGGATTTTTTTGTGCCCGGTTTTCACAGGGGTCAGCGTGGAAGGCTGTTCCTAGGCATGACTTACCTCTCTAGGTACTAGCTGTCCTTTGTAGCTGAACATTTTGTCCATTTCTGTTAGAGTTTTCTCTGGAGCTATCCATTTCTTGCTTTGCCACCATGTTTAGCTTTCGGCAGTGTAGGTAGGGAAAGTACTTTAGCACCAAGGAGGGTTTTGATATCACACATAATATTTCTTCTGTTTGTATATTTTACCTATTTTATGGCAATTTGCCATGTATCTGTGAAGCTGTTGATTTGTATCTTATATTTAGGGTAAATTCTAGAGGAGTAAAGGATTACTATCCTAAAGCATGGGTAGAATTTTCACATGTCAAATAGTAGACCTCCTATTTGGACATTTTATCCTTTTTAATGAGAATTTGATATGCTGATTTGCCACCTGTAATTGGCTTAAACAAGATAAAATTTTTACTTGTCAGAAAGTAGCTAGGGTTTGAATTGCTCATTTTATCTATTGTTGTAACTGTTCACCATGAATTTAGCAGCTATTGGTTTGCTCTTATAGGTAGCACATCTTTTAGTCCGGGGAGTAAATTATATTTCTAAGCCAAATGGAATTTCCACTTGTCTTTCCGACTTTGCAAACAGGAATGAACAGCACCACAAAGACAGACTAGATATAACCTGAGAGAGAAAGATAGCGTGTGCCCAGCTGTCAGCACTATTGCACTGATGAAACTCATCCCTAAAGAAAAGATGGGAACGGTGAAGAAATCCTGGCTTGTTGAAAATGCTTCAAGTCAAATAGTCCGATTGTTTGTGGATCTCAGGACAAGTGTTTGCACTGCTGTTTTTCAGATGGTTTGTGGACCTCAGGACAGTGTTTGTACATGCTGTTTTTCAGATGGTTTGTGGACCTCAGGACAGTGTTTGTACTGCTGTTTTTCAGATGGTTTGTGGACCTCAGGACAGTGTTTGTACATGCTGTTTTTCAGATGGTTTGTGGACCTCAGGACAGTGTTTGTACATGCTGTTTTTCTCTACAAGTATCCCACAATTGTTTCTTTTCTTTTTCCTTAATTGCCTATAGGCTCATACCCTTCCCGGTCCTTTTTCTTTAACCTTACCCTTCCACAGTCTCTATTCTAAACCCCTAAATCTATATTCTGTTTGTTTATCTTATTTCCTAGTCTCAGCGTGGAACAGGACCCTAGCTAATCAGATGAGACAGGTTTGTCTGTTCGGGTTCTTGGGCTGGAACGAGTCTTTACACTTTGCTCTGTTTTAGTCTCTATCCTGTTTTTCCAATTTCTCAACGTCTCTAGCAGAGGCAGACAGAGGGATGGCTGGACACACACAGACACGCACACACGCTTTCGCGTGCTCATACACACAGGCACACACATCATCCAGACTGTTTTTCTAAATTTCAGGATCCAGGTTTCTAGTCTGTTCTTTCCCTTATTATCAGGTTATTAAGTCTAAATAGCAATGTAGTGCTGAAAAGAATAGGTAAAGAAGAAACGGGGAGAAAGGAAGAAAGCGAGGCTGATATTTCTAGGGATCAACAAGTCGTATCAGAGACTATTTTTCTGAGTAGAGTTTTCCGGTTGGAAAGAGATTCCCAATGGTCTAAAGCCTTTTCACATGGACTGCTTCCAAGCCGAATTCTCTGGACATGGTTTTCATTGTGACTTATTTTAAAGAACTTGTAACTGTAGTAAAGACAGCAATGAATTAAACAATAGCAACAATAAACCCCAACAACCTCTGCAGCCTGCCATAAACCTTTTCACTGGTATTCTTTCTGGCTTTTGCTTGGTGTGAATGTATGTTTTCATAGACTAGTACTTTTAAGCTGTGTGGATCTTTTACACTTTATTTGGAAAGATAAGTGAGCCTTGTTTTTAGGGAAGCAGTTTGCAGGCTGATGTGAGAGATGGTATTCAGACTAATTACCAGGATCGGTGTGTGAGCCAGAGACTAAATGGGACCAGCGCTGGCCAGATGTGTACGGGTTACTTCCTGGGTCTGAAGAAGTGGGAACCGACTAGAGCCACAAACCCTTGCCCTGGGTCTTCACTTGTTTAACATTGGCATAGTGATTTTT